ATATAAGGCTCAAACTATGTAAATATTTCTGGAAACTTTATACTGCCCTCTGGTCAGAGGTTTTTTTTTAACTACCCAGTTACAATGATGCTTCTAAGCACATGGTTTTATTGCATGGGCAATGAATATGTGATACTGCTTTTGTTGTTGCCAGTGTTTTTATAGTCACTGATTTTGTCAGTTTTTGGTTTTTATCTACGATATTATAGTAAGTGGCATTTGTGAAACTGTATAAATAACTATTTTGATAATGAAATAGTAACTAAAGAATAAATGGGGGAAAGCTACTGATTAATTATTTAATGTTGTAACTAGTAATCTTGTAATTTAATGTAGAAAGGTTTTACAAAATCATTTTTTTAGTTAGTATTTATATAGTGTAAGAAACATTATATTTTATCAATTTATAACTACATTTATCACATTTTATTCTTTGGTTAAAATGGATTGTAGGCACTCCTAAGGATTCTGTGTGGTCTGATGTGGGAGGAAGTCCATGAGTGGGTGATGCCGTGAATTACAGCATTGAGTGACATCTATCCTAGTGACACCACTGGATTAAAGTGCTTTGAAAGGTTGAAAACAATCTGTTGCTTTTGTGAATTGATTCTGTTCTTTAAGATTGATGATATTATCTTTCCAGTGATCATTAGAACTTCCTAAAAATATTAAGATATTTAAGATGTCGTTTATTACCATGTGGTATTGAGTGAGTCATTTAACGTCTCTTGTGCCCTTACCACAATTTTATTTTTATTTTCTGCTGCAGCACCTGTAAACTTTGCACAAGATGCTTTTAATTCTCTCCTGTGACTGTACAGGTATTTATTAACCTCCAGTAAAAATCCAGATTCTGTTCTGAAAAAACAGGGTAACGGTGGGCATAGTTCAATGGTGATTAATTTTATAAAACAAAGTGTATGAGAATGATTGTATGAAACACAGTGTGAATGAAGGAAAGTATGGATTATAATGTATACATATATGTATGCAAACCAGTATACTTTTTTGTTTTGTTTTTTTTAAAAAAGGCCTGGTAACCTGTCTGTAAGGCTCAGAATTTGAATTTTATCTTTCTTTTTTACCCAGAGAAGACACTTAAAACATCTTTATGCCATTGAGTGGCCAAATATCTTCACGGCACTTTTATAATAACTTCTTTCAAGGATGATATGTGGGATACTTCTAAGTGGAAGAATGTATTATTTCTGAATAAATTGAGAATGGCTCTGTCCAAGTTTAAACTTGGCCTGAGCCAAATGATGTTCCTAAATAGTTAATCTTTTTGGAATTACAAGTTCAGTTTGTATTGATTGATGGTTTATGAGATGGTCCACCCCTGGCCCAGCACTGAAGCAGACATGTAGGAGGCGCTGAAGGACAGGGTATATCCCTAGTTTTCAGTGTGAGGACCAAATCCCTTCCACACAGCACTTCACATCTTACATCCCATTTCTTCTTCCCAGCTGTGCAGTCCATGGAGTCTATGCTGTTCTTTTACACCTAAAGCATCTGACCCCAAGTCCCCTCCTGATCCACACCAACATTCTGCAGTTTGAGATGTCATGCAGTTAAGTGCTAAATTAAATGACAAGGACAAGAGGTTCAGATAAGAGAATCATTGGTGGCAAAGAAATCATTCTGGGAGTTAGGAATTCCACTTGCTTAGAGGGAGGAAGTTGCTACTTGTCTGGAGGAAGTAAATCACTGTACTTGAAAACTAAACATGTATCTTCGATGTGGGCATCATGCATTGCTGATATCTCATACGTATGCTAAAACTTGAAAGAATGCTTTATTGAGAAGAAATGTGGATTTGGTTACAGGACATCGTGATGTTTTATAAAGTTAAACATTATTAAAATTCCAAAATCATGGCTCCACATTAGTGGAGAAACAGATTTAACATGAGGTAACAATAGCAAAATTAGGTTGAAGGCTGAAGTTAAAAGCAATACTTGTAAAAATAATATTAGTGTAGTGCTCCTTACAACACTGTATTTCAGGATAGAACTTGAAATTGACTTTGTAACTACAAATGCAACATCATTCTTCTGTTTTTCATTCCCAGCATAGTATACCATATGACCATCTAATTCAAAGTGTCCAAAAGTGATCCATCTCTCCTCACCAATGCCTACTATGTCGATGTTCATGTGTTCCATTTCATTTTTATCAATTTCTTCTTTTCCTCCATTCAAGCTACATACATTCCATGTTCTAAATATTAAACAATATTTGGTTTTCTTTTTTCTCATTTCAACTGACTTCCTATATGGGCTCTCCCACAGCACTACTATACCTATCCTTGTTCCTGTTGTGCTCATAGGATTTTTAAAGGCCTGTTATATTTAAGAAATAGATGGCCAATTTTACTTCCTAGTCTGTCTTAATCAGGGAGCTCCACCAAAACCTGTCCACCATGAGTAATCCTTACTCATTTGACACACCAGTGCCATAGCTCTAATTGCACTGGAAAAATCCGCAGTTTGGGACATCTCCAAATTATGGAGGAATAATGATGTCAGTTTGAGGACTAAAGATTCAGGCCATAGTCTTTCTGATTACTTGCTATGCATCTGAAAGTTGGGCAATGAATATAGATGACAGAAGAATTGATACCTTTGAGCTGTGGTGTTTGGAGAAGAACACTGAACATCCATCCCATGGACAGCCAAAATAACAAACAAATATGTCATGGTGAGCATGCAGCCAAAGTGTTCTTTGGAGGCAAGAATGGTGAGGCGTTGCCTCACATGCTTTGAGCCTGTTGCCAAGAGGGGCTATTCCTTAGAGAGGGGCATGATGCTAGGAAGGGTAGAAGGTCAGCGAAGGAGAGGTGGATTGACATGGTGACTGCAGAAATGGGCTCTTGTGTGTCAGGAAGTGTGAAGACAGCACAGCTAGAACAGGGTTCAGATCTTTTGTTCGTAGGGTCGCTATGAGTTATACTCGCCTTGACAGCACCTAACAACAACAAAAGTGCTCCTCAGCTTAAAAAGTAGTGTTGCATAAACACCTGCACTTGATATTTGGAACAAGCTCATGAAATAGACATGGCTTTCGCTTAATAAATAAGAACACTGAATTTTATAAAGGCTAAATGTTGCTCTGGTATTCTGGTGGTCTAGTGAGTCGGGAGTTGTGCTGCCAATCCAACAACAAGTGGTTCAAATCCTCCAGCTCCTCTGAGGGAAAAATATAGGTAGTTGTTTCCCATATGATCTATAGCCCCTGAAAACCCACTGGACTGGTCAGCTATGACTCAGTTCCAAACCAACAGCAATGAATGAGTGATGAAGTATTACCCAAGAGCACAGTAAAGTGACAAATGCAGGACATCAGGCTTTTTGACTCCATAGTTGATTTGGTATTATTAACTAAAACTTCTGCACATGTGAAATGACTTTTGTATGGATGACTAGAACACTCTGTGACTGAGATACAAGCTATAACAATGTCTGGTGCCTAAACTTGATACCTTCTTAACCCCCGACTGCTTCACTCTTACAAATGGCAATTAGTTATTCTCTGTGAAGCTTGTGGCTATTCAGTCCATTTCTAATTCCTGGACATATTGAAGCAGAAATCCACACTATTTTTTTTTTTTTTTTGGTAACTGGGTCCAAGAGCAACAGTGTCTCTCTGGAGACTAAGGTGCACCTTATACAGGCCATGGTTTTTGCAATCGCTTGTTACACATCAGAGAGTTGGACAATGACCAGAGAGGACAGAAGGAGAATTGACGCCTTTGAGCTGTGGTGCTGGAGAAGAGTACTAAATGTACCATGGACTGCCAAGAAAACAAATAGATTTCTCCTAGAGAGGGTTAAATTAGGCTGCTCCTTGGAGGCAAGGATTCTGGGGCTTCGCCTGACATACTTTGGACATATAAGGAGAGACGGGTCTTTGGAGAGGGACATCATGCTGGGCAGAGTGGAGGGACGGTGCAGGAGGGGAAGACCCTCTATGAGGTGGATTGATTCAGTGACTGGGGTAATCGGGATGGATGTGTCAGAGGCAATGAGATTGGCACAGGATAGAGCAGGGTTTAGGGCTGTTGTACATAGGGTTGCTATGAGTCGCAAGCGACTCGATGGCACATAACAACAACAACAACAACAACTGGGTCTGGTAAAACTGAAAAGCAGGAGTTATTTCTTGAGGGTTCCAGCTACATGTCTCTTGTCTAACAGCCAGGGCAAACTCCCATTCTCTAAAGATTAGAAAGAAAAAAGAGCAAACATTCGGTGAAAGGATTGATTCTAGTTCTTCAAAATGCCCTAGATTTGCTCCCCACAATTCCTGATCCAGAGATGTGCCCAGGAAAATATCTGGGGAGCCTAATGCCAAGGTTTGGAGAACATGGACATGTTAAAAAAACCCCAAAACCCTAAACAAAAACCCTTGTGTAGATTAAGTATGTTTGCAAGAATAAATCCTAATAATGACAGTAGAGTTGAACAGAAATCAGACTTGTGCCTATCCAACCAAGGGAACAACAACAACAACAAAAAGATCTTTTCTCTTAATTGTTCTATTTCCACAGAGGCTTTCTTCCTATAACTGAAAAAGGAGTTTGGAAGGGAAGGTTGTAGCTTTTCACCTTCATGGGTCATGGATGAAAACAATCCTAGAACTTGTCTGACTGGCTCTAGTGAGAAACGTAAGTAAACAAGCCCTGAAAAAAACAAACGAGAAACCTGTGCGTCACTCACGTGGTAGAACAGTGGAGGTTGTCTTTCTGGACACTTAATAAATCAGTTCCGGTGTCACAGATAAAATGCAGAAGGCACTTTCAGAGAAATGTCATTTAGTCCCTTGCTGGTCGCAGTGGCTTAGGGAAGGGGTAGGAAACTGCTCTAACTAGCCAGTGGTGACCTGCTGGAATAGTAAGAACAGAGTACCTTACAAGATACAGGGAGTTCTGAAGCTTTATGGCAAGAATGTGTATCGGCCCTTCTTTCACGAATGTGGGTCTTTTTTATCACCTGGGAATGCTAGACTCTAACAGGTCTGGTGATGTAGCAAGGCTGCACGTGCTCGTGAGAAGAAATGACCTTGCCGTCCTGAATCTCCTTGGTGATGGTACAGATTTTAACCAGTATCCGTGGCAGAGGTTTGCAGGCGTTGCAAATCACATGGACCCCACAGGGAGCAGAGGACATACAAAGGCTGCGTGATGCGAAACACAGTCGTTCCATGACTCTGGCCTTACAGGATGTGCAAGTGGAAAGGTCACATTTGTTGGCACAAGGGTTACAGGGAAACCTAAATGGGGGAAAAACAAACAGAAATGGAACCATCACTTGGTTAGGGGAGCGTGCTGGGCAGCAGTGCTGCTGTTGTTGTTAAGTCCTGTCAAGTTGAGTTGAGTATGACCCATAGCGAACTTAGGAACAACGGATCTGCAGTCTGTCCTATTCTGTCACCTCACACTTTCTGACACACAGGAGCCCATCAAAGCAGTCACTGTGCCTGTTAATCCACCTGGTTGAGGGTCTTCCTCTCCTTCACCGACCATCTTTCTGAGCACCATGTCCCTCTGTGAGGCATAGTCCCTCCTAACAACATGCCTGAAGCATGCGGGGCAAAGCTTTATCATCTTTGCCTCCAAAGAGCAGTCTGGCTGCACTTTCTGTAAGATGTATTTGTTTGTCTTTTGGGCTGTCCATGGGATATTCAGTAGTCTTCTCTAACACTGTAACACAAAGGCACCAATTCTTCTGTCATCCTTACTCATTATCCAGCTCTCAGATGCATAGCAAGTGGTCAACAAATATGGATAAAAATGGTGGTATTAGTTTTTCAGTATGTGCCACTCAAAACAACAACCTCCAGGTGCTTACACATTTTTTATGAGTAGTTTTTGTTGTTGGCTGCCAATGAATCAATCCCAGTTCATGGTGACCCCAGGTGTACAGAGTAGACTTGCTTCATAGGGTTGTACAAAGCTGTGACCTAGAAGCAAATCTCCAGACTTGTCTTCTGAGGCACTTGTGGGTGAGTTTGAGTGGTCAACATTTTGGCCAGTGCCCACTACCACTGCCACCGCCTTTGTCCTGACTCAGAGTGACACACAACAAAGAGCCGACTTACTGCTTAGAGTGCCTGAGGCTGTAAATCTTTCTTCTGTGGAGCAGCTCTTGGGTTCAAACTGCCAACCTTCTGGTTCATGTTGCTGTCGCTGTTAAGTGCCTTTGAGTCAATTAAGACTCACAGTGACCCTGTGAACAACAGACCTGAACCTAGCCAGTCCTGTGCATTTCCACTGTGTCATCAGTGTTTCTTTTGGTTTAATAACAAATGGCAACAACTCATTGGTGTCACGTTGGAATGACTCACATAAGCTTATCCTCCAGAGGATTTTCAGAGGCTGTAAATAACCCAGGAAGAGATTGCTCATCTTTCTCCCTTGGAGCAATTGGTGGATTCGAACCAGGTGCCTTTGGATTGGTTGTGCAACTCCTTACCTACAAGGCCACCAGAGCTTCTTTTGGACTTATAAGTGGAGAGAAACGTGTCAAATCTTTTGGAATGTGGCATCGTAGGTCTAGAACTGTTAGAGTATGAAAGCTTTCAGGAGCCAGTTCTTGACCTTAGGTAAGTAATTTTGACCTCCTGAACTTTAAATTTCTTATCTGCAGGATGAGCATTAATAGTAACTAACCTTATAGATGTATTCAATCACATGAGGGTCTATAGTGATAAGAAAGAGATTAATAGGATTGTTTTCTGAGGAATGGAAGTTAATAAAATCTTTTCCCTTTCCTCCTCCTAAATTTTACTTGTTTTGTTGTTATCATTTAAATATTTTTTTTCTTCTGTGTACTATTGAGTTAGGTCTGACTGGCACAAGAGGAGATTGCTTCTCCTTCTCCACCTTCAGGATTGCTGTGCAGCTTTTAGCCACTAGGCCACCAGAGTTCCCTTATTAAATAGAGTTAGTCACAGATTATTGAGAAGTCCTCCTCACTTTATCAGGAAACTATAAAGTGACTTCTAAACTCTTGCTGTCTAGTAGGTTCTGACTCATACATCCCTGTAGAGTAGGACTTCCCTAAGGCTTTTGAGGCTGTAAATCTTGTCAGGAGCGGACTGCCTCACCATCTTCCCATAGGATGGCTGGTAGATTTGAACTGTCGACCTTCCATTTAGCAGCCCAGTGATTAACCCACATCAGCACAGGGCCTAAGTGTCAACAAATGAAGAATTTTTAAAGAACTGGAGTAAGAAGCAATAAAAACCCGAAACTCCTCAAAAACATGTCTTTCTTTGATGGATAAAGGCTTGCTGGTATACTGCAGTTCTTCAAGCTTATAACATTGGTTGGCATGGTGTTAGTGGCTGTCTTAGTTAAGAGATTGCTGGGAACAGAGTTTACAGATACCATCAGGGAGGAAGGTCTCTCTAGTAATTATAAATAATTCTATCTTTGGGATACTAGATTTGAATGGAATTTCTTCTAATAGCTTGTGTTCCAGGATATTTCCTGGTGGCTTAGTTTTCTTATCCCTTAAAAAAAAGACAGCTAATATTTTTAAAAAAGGATGCTGAAATACACACGTTTACATGCTGTTGCTGGCATGAGGGAAGAGTGATTAGCCCGGGCTAGGGGTTTCAGTTTGGGCAGAAGCAGGGCTGTTCTATTAGATCTCACAGAAGTAAGATCTTTCATGACGTTTGTTTCAATGAGGGGAAATCAGTAACAGTCATCAGCAGTGCTCTTCTTTTCTCCTAGTAATTTTTCAAATTCTAAGGCACTAACCCAATCTATAAGGAATTAACCTGGTAACACTACCTTTTGGTACGCTGCCTTTTCAAAATCATCAGCTCTCATAATACCTTAAATAGGGACTGAATTATAACTACAAGTCTCCTCACTTGCCAGTCCTCAGCTCTTGTCTCCCTGGGGCCACTGGCTCCACTTACATGGGTGTACGCCAATATCTTTCTTGCAAAAGCAGCTTTTGTTTCACTTACTTGCCATCCAGGCTCTCCAGGAGGCTGCGGTATGTGGCAATCTCGCACTCTAGTCGGGATTTGACGTCCAGAAGGATCTCGTATTCCTGGTTCTGTCTTTCCAGCGCGCCCCGGATCTCTGCCAGCTGAGCCTCCAGGTTATCGATCAGACACTGGATCTGGGTCAGCAGGGCTGTGTAGCGGGCCTCGGTCTCTGCCAGCATGCATTCCTGGGAATCTCTCTAATAGAGAGGAGGAAAGATAGGATTTATAATGGTGACTCCTTATGCTCAGGCCAGGGTTTGGCACCTGGGATCTATATAGTTTTTAACAATGCTTTCTTAGAGACAGGGGCCATGGATTTCTAAAGCCATTTGTTACTACCTAAGAAATCCAATCCACAGACAAAAGGATCAGCTCAGCTAAAGCTTACTTTCCTTTATCTCCTTTTTTTGCCCTCTGTTGAATGTTTCCTTTTTCTTCTTGTTTCTCAACCACATGATAATCTCCTACCATACTTTCTCTTACCTGTGAGGGTAAACATATTTAAGCTCATTTCACATCTAGTATTTCAAATGTGTTTGTGCTATCCTATTTTATGAGTATACCTTTAAAAGGAAAGAAACAGCATTTAATCATAAAACATTTTTTTTCCTTCTGGATTAAAACTCTACATGCAAACTTGAAAGCTGAAACTTTGATGTTGAAAGTTATTTTCCACTCTATCTGGAAGTCCTAGTGGGAGTTTAGGTTTTTGAATGATTATTCAAATTTTTGTGGATTAAAAAGTGAGGTTCAAGAGGTAAAAGAGTTGCCTCGGGTCAGATGACTAGCTAGTGTAGGGACAAAAGCAGCTTTGGAGTCCAAGGTTTTCCTGTCATTAAGCAGTGTCCTACATCAGAGAAGATCGTATAATAAGGCAGAAGCAGCGCCATCTGTGGAACTGGAATTCTGACTCAAAATCTTATTCGTCTTATGACTTTGAACAACTTTTTTAATGTCTCAGGTTCTGAGTACCTCTAGTTATAAAACAGAAGAACAGAAACTTGTGTTGGGTTTGGCTAGGGAAAATCACATTTGCTCTCTCTGAGCCTTGTCTGTAAAAATGATTGAGTGATTACACCACCTAATTTGTCAGATTGTTTTGTAAATCTAATGTGAAAGTTTTGGCAATTCTTCCCACATTAATGGCTCCCGAAGTATACTTCATGGATCATTATTACCATGAAATGCTCCTAAGAAAAAGAGAGTTTGAAGTCAAATAAGTTTTGGAATGCTAAATACCAAATGTTTTCTTGGAAATTAATGGTGTATAACAATTTATCAAAGGATGTCACATGCTTAATCTTAGTTTAACCCAGCATTCTGTAGACTTAGTTGACCTCAAAGTCCTTATTTTGATAGCAGGTCTTTTAGTATCAGAGGAACTGTGGTCCTGAGGATCAAAATTTGGGGAACATTACAGTACACCAATGTCAGGAGCGTCCCCATCATGGCTAGAATTGTGGTACCATTCGATGCTGGGCCCGCAGCTCAATCTCCAGGGTGTTCACAGAGCGTCTCAGTTCAATGATCTCCTTCTGGCAGCTCTGCTGCTGTTGAGAGCTTGTCATCACCTGCTGATTGAGTTCTTCCATCTGAAACACAGTCAAAGATGATTGACATCATGGCAGGAAAACATGATTTTGACAAATAAGGCTCCTAGAAATACACGGCCAGCTGATTGCTTTCAACATTTCCCACCTGCATGTTGAACCATTGCTCCACATCTCGGTGGTTTGTCTCTACAATGGACTCATATTGACATCTCATTTCTTGTAGGACCTGGTTTAGGTCAACAGAAGGAGCAGCAGTCACTTCAATGTTGAGTCTGTCCCCAAGCTGACTCTGTAAGGAATTGATTTCCTGTGGGAGGGAAAATATGTCATATCACTGAATGAATAGATGACAACCCCCCCTCGTGTTCTTGTGTCCATCTAACAGCAGTAATTTAGCTTAATTGTGCTTGAAATATTTCCCACAAGAAAGGAATCCATATATAATTTATAGATCCTTTTGAAGTTCTATAAAATGACTTCAGGCTATTTCAGAGATGACTGTGTGCTAAAATATGTACAAAACTAAAAGGAATTGGACAGCAAGATCAAAGTTGTAAAGAATTTAGGTCATTTTTAGGGATGAATAATGGGTCAAGTAGCAAAGTGATAGCATTAATAATGAGATGCTATAATCTCTATGACATGAATGTCGGCTGATACTGACTTGTATCAATACACGGGGGAAGGAGTTAGAACATGAATGTCTACAAAACAGGTGAGACACCTGTGAAGACAAGAAAATTTGGATACTTCTGCCACTTCTTGGAAGTTGGGGAAGCCCATGGAGACTTTCCATGACCATGTGGCCTTAGAGATTTTGTTATACTCAAAGAAATTGGATACATTTTGAAGAAGTGAAAGTGGCAGTAGAGATTATCAATACTAAACACCAGAAGTGTATGTAGTGAGAACATCCTTTGTTAAGTTCAACCCATAGGAATTATACTATTACTAGAGGCTTGGCTAGAGATGATTCCCCTCAGCCTTTGACTCACCTCTTTATGGTTGTCTTTGAGGCAGAGGAGTTCCTCCTTCAGAGACTCTACTCTGGCCTCCAGGTCGGCCTGGCCCAGGGTCAGGACATTCAAGATTTGCTGTAGGCCTTTGGCATCTGCCTCTACCATCTGGCGTAAGGACACCTCTGCTTCATACCTTTAAAAGACCAACACATGAAAATCTATGGTTAAAAAGTAGATTGTCTAAAACAAGTCAGAACTCACTTCTGATTTTTCTCTCGAGGTCTCTTTTGTACTATTTTTATTGTAGACTTTATTCCCTTCATAAATGAAACCATTGGATAAATATGACCATTTAATTTCTGTCCTTAAACTATTTTCCAGAGAGCTGTGATATTGCTAATTCTTTGAGATGAGGCAATTTCTTCTCCCACCCCTGCAGAGGGCTCTGGTGGCCTAGAAGTGGTAAGGAATTGCGCTGCCAAGCCAAAGGCACATGGTTCAAGTCTACCATTTGCTCCACAAGAGAAAGAGAGGTAGTCACTTCCTATGATATTTACAGCCTCTGAAAGCCCACTGGAAGGAAGGTCAGTTAGGAGTTGATTCTGACTCAGAGGCACAAAACAACAACAAACCACCCTTTTAGTCAGTGTAGTATAAATGAAAAGCACTTGATGGCTTAGAAATCTAGGTCCAAGTTTTGATTGTCTTATACTAGTTGTACACCTTTGATTAGTAACTTAACCTCAAAAAAATAAAAGTTTTCTCACCTGAAGTGGATATCAATGTTATTCTTATTGCGTGTTGAGTTGATTTTGACTCACAGAGATCCCATATGGCAGGGTAGACTTGCCCCATAGGTTTTCTTGGGCTGTAATATTTCATAAGGACATATACCTAGATCTTTTCTCCTATGAAGAAACTGATGGGTTTGAACCACTGGCTTTTTGGTTTCCAGTTGAATGCTTAGCTATTGCATGACCAGAGCTCCTCTTAATAACACATTAACCTGACCTATTTTACTCAGTCATTGTGCAGATAATGAGAGGGCTTCATGTATTAAAAGCTACCGGTATTAGATGCATGCAAGCTGTTATTAATCCTAATAATTTCATAAACGTGGTGATCTTTCCTGGGCTAGTGCTAACATGACATGGGCTAGACTTGGGGATCATCTTCTCTGGAGTGTTAGAGGGGGACTTGGGATGAATTCTGTCATGCATAGTGGTGGTAGGTGGGCTTACTTGGCTCTTAAGTCATCAGCAGCCAGTTTGGTGTTGTCAATTTGTGAGACCAGCCTGGAATTCTCAGCCTTGGTACACAAGATCTAGAATTAAGAAATTGTACACACAAATGAGACAAACACCAGAATCTCCTTTTAAGAACCAAGGGACTTGTGTGTTTCCATTGACAGATGAAGGCTGGTAGGACTTTTCATGAATCTTTATAAATATGCTTACTATGTTTGGGATACTCTGGAAAGCTAGAGTTTTTCTATTTTCCCTAAAAGATTGACATAAAATGGACTTTAAACTCTCTTGTATATCTCTTTCTGTTAAAACACAAAATCCAGCCTAAACTTTCATAGTGTACCATAATCCACAATCCACTAGAAAATCTAGGAATTCAGGGACTTTTTTTTTTTTTAGTTCACTAATATTTTCTCAGAGTCTAACGTAATTCTGTGACATCATTGCTAGTATTTGGACAAATACACCAAATAAATTCAGTATATTTGGCAGCAATATATAACTGCAAACAGAAAACTTAGCTTTGTGGTGGGAAGAAACAATTTGGAGATGATGGAATAAGCATAAAAGGATGATGATGGCTGTATAATGAATAAAAAGTTATTTATTAAAATAATTTTTAAATTATTTTAAATTTTTTATTAAATAAAAAGTTATAAAATGCATTTTCTTAGATCTCCAATTTTAAAATTTTTGTTAAAGAAAAGGCAGTAGCAAAGTTGCTAACACTACTTGATCCTGAGTTTTATATTTATAATGAGAGAATGCATTTGGAAAAATGAAAAGCTGTATAACTCTAAGTATTACCTTAAGATAACACTGCCTTTACAGACATTTTTCTCCTATACTATAAAATAATTTTTACTTTATAAGTTTTTAAAAGATTAAAAGTTGAGTGAGTGACTGTTTTTGGAGATCGTTCATTCCCAGTTTAATTAGGCTAGTGCCGGAGGACCTTACCTTCTGCTGCAGCTCTTCTATGGTGCTGTAGTAAGACAGGTAATCAGGACACACCACAAGGACTTCTTTGTTACACTCTTCTTGAATTTTACATTCCAGATCTGCATTCTCTTGTTCCAGCAGATGTACCTTTTCCAGGTAGTTGGCAAGGCGAGTGTTCAAGACCTGCATGGTTTCTTTCTCATTACTGTTGATACCTTTTCCACACCAGTCACAATCATCCAGATAAAGGCAGGCATTGGAGTCGCCCCTTCGGCAGATGGGTATGCTACTAAAGCAAGGAATGGCCCAGCAGCCCCAGGCTTGGGGCTTTTTCGGAACACGGCCAGGTGGTTGACTGCTGTTGGCTTCATGACCACCACTCTGGCAGCTTTTGCTTGATGAGCTGACTCTAAGATTTGTAGTTTTAGGATGATTTTGGAGTGGTCTTGAAGAAGTAACAGTTGTACAGTCCTTTGTATCCATAGTGTGTGTCCAGCTTTGGTTTTGTTTCAGAATTTGTGGTCCCCTGGATGGAACGCTCAAGTGCCCTTGACTTGAGTTGGACTACCAAGCCTCTTGGCTTCCCTTTGAAGTGCTTATATAGCCTCTCCCTTACATGGTGTCATGGTTTATATTTATTATACCTTTCTAATGTTTATATCAAACCTCATAGGAACATCTCATTAGCCTGCTTTTTACTTGCCTGAGATAAATTACTTGTCTCATAAAATGTCCATTTAGGTTCTTACTAAGTTATTACCCATCATAACCACTACTTGTCGTTGGGTGAGAGCTTCGCATTATACCTTCAAAAGGAACTGTCGTCACTATCTCAACAGCATCCATTATTAAACAGGTGTGAGTGTATTAAGTTCATTAAGTGCTTACTGACCTCACCACCTGGGACTGTGTGAACCAGGAGTGAGTCCATCTTTCTTTTTCTTTCTTCTTTAGAAAAGGGAAATGATTAATATGCAATAATTATTGGTAACCCCCCCCTTATCTAAAAAGTATTAAAAAGAACAAAAAAAAAAAAAAGAAATCAGTATTTTATGTTGTTGTATCCAACTGATTTTCCCATTTTTATTTTTAGGACATTGTAGTTATGAATTAAAATTTTCATCCTAAGTAGGAGTCTTTTGAGATGGTAAGTCACTGTGTCGAGGGTGTATATTATTAACCTGGCTGAAGAAAAAGGCAATATGCAATAAGGAGGGAGGTCAGCATAAAATGAGCAAGACAAAAGAAGATACTGAGAGAAGAACAAGAGTTAAAGGCAATGGAGGAAAATACTAGTACATACACAATCCTGCATTTACATTAATAGCAATAACCCACAAGTAGACATGTAAACATACAAGGTGCACAGGAATGGGAAGGCAAAGGGGACTATATCCACAAATATAGAAAGGCTTGATAGATGATCGTTCTTTATATGTGTGTACATTTCTACATATGCTGCAAAAATATCCAGGGATATTGTACAGCTTACAGGCAATAACATAATAAAAACTTCTTAATCATAACCAAATATCTCAAAGGAATAAAGTTGTGGATCTATGGGTTCAAGATCATAGTCTCAGGGGCCATCAAAGTCAAATGACACAACAGAGTCTGTAGAGAAAATATTAGACATCCTACATAGGTGAGTAGGACTAAGATCTCAGAAGCTTGTGAATAACCATCTGAGGAGAAACTGTTTGTGTCTCCTGTCCAGAGCGAAGCAGAGTGACAAGAAACCAAGCTGCATGGAAATTATTAGTTTGAGGACCAGTATACCACATGAATTTCAGGCTCCAAGACCCTGAGAGTAGTAGAGCCAGCGATAAGGTGCCCAGTTAAACTATCAAACATTCTGTAGAAGGCTTTGGATAGAGTGGGAGAAAAAAATGTTGAACAAAACCTCAAAATCACAAAGAAGACCAGGCTCAATGGCCAGAAAGAGACGGATGGAATGCCCTAAGATCACCGTCTTTAGCCATTGATCAAGACTGAACTCATCCCTATGACTTAACTTCAGTTAAACAACAGATAGGCCTATAAAAATGAACAGTGGCAAGAAGATGCACTGCAATCCCAGAGGTGAGCCATTCGAATCTACTAGATGCTCTGCTGGAGAAGGAGGGACAATCTCCTTCTGTACCAGTCAGATTCGATTTGATGGTACACACAGACACAAAACAAAAAATAGTTAAAAAAAAAAAGAACATTAACACCAAGGAGCTTTGACCCACTTTGAACAGTTAAACATTTGAAATTAAAAGGGCAGCATTTGCCAGAAGACAACATGCAGAAGGCAGGAAGGGATAGGAAAAAGGATAAAATCCTGAAAATACAGGGAAATATGTGAGATGAGTGATGTTATACCTTTAGGATTATAATCAATCACATAATCAATCAATGTAGGTATGGATTGTTGAATGAGAAACTGATTTGCTTTATAAACATTCGTCCATAAAGCAATCAGAAATTAGAAAAAGAAAAGTTGGTTACCTTTAATTGCCCACATTTACAATTTTTCTCTTTTTGTATTTGTTAGTTTAAAATTTGTTATGGTAATGGTTTATATTTATTTTCAGATGCTCTCCTGAAAGGAATCTGTATTCCCTCTGAGGAATAATGAAAATTTTCCTCTTTCTGATTAGAGGAAAAATCCAGCCATATGTATATTCGTCCCAGTAACCACTGTATGTGGTGGAAACTGATTTTGTTTTCATTTCTTATTTGTGGAATAGGCCTAAGTAACTGCTGTAGGTTCTTTTAAGAATCTGTTCCTCACCTCATCCAGCACCCAGGGCTTCAGATTCTGTTTCTGGAGATTTGAATCATGAGCCATTTGTCTTATTCACATCAAACATCATATGATTCTTTTAGCTTCCACCCCTCCTTTTATAGCTTTTTAGTTAGCTACTTCACTATCTTCTGACATCCATTTTGGTCTTTTCTTCCTCTTCTGTCTTTGTAATGACCGTTTACACTCTTCCTGAATGATATCTTTGACATCCTCCCACA